TACTGATGCCATTTCAATTATGCCTAGATTATATTACGTTTCTAACAAAAGGAAACAACAGAATTATTTCACTAGTAACGAAGGTATCGTGGAACATACAAACAAAAATATTCAATTGAATTAAGATTCTTCTCTTATTTCAGACCAGTAATAAATATATATAATTATAATTCTATTATAATCTACTTACTGAAAAGGTAAGTCATATTTTACAGAGAGAAAAAAAATAAAATCTGTCAGTTTTTTAAATTGAAATTCATGTATATGTACTCGTAGCATGCATTCTACTAGATACTGCTATTATTCTATAATATATATGTTACTATGAAAAAATTGTTCAGAACGCGATGTGGTCACAGAAAAATATCTCTCACAATGCGTTGAAGCAATAACAGAATAATGTGATTTTGATCTTTGAGCGTAACATATACGCAACTTAAATACCGAGCCTTTTAAAAAAAGTTCTTCTTCTTCTTTTTAATTATTGGCGTTTCCCTTTTGGATTTCACCAGAATCCAGTGTTTTGCTCAGTATAGTTTTGCTTCTACTATAAACTTTGACTCTGCTTTATATGAGGTGTAGTGAAAGCATATGTCAATGTTGAATTTTGATAATATTTGGAGCTGTTGTTTTACCTGTAAGAGACGGACACAATATATACATATAGAACAGTTGTTAGTAAATTAGGACAAACTAATCATAATCGTATGTTATTGCTGGTTATATAATTACACAAGACATTGACAAAGGGGGAATTAGTATAACTAAAGATAGTTTTAAAATTTGTGGGTTTATTAAAAAAAGTTAAACGAGTACATGAAATTATATTGGACTGTCGACCGCAATATGAAATTAACATACTAACTGCCACCCAGCTCTCTAAAGACTTAAAATGCGGTGGTGTAACAAATTTCCAAGTGCCAGTAAATGGTGGCGTTTTGACATTAAACGTATTTAGAGAAAGAACTTCAAAGGCCCGCTTAGAATAAATTGCTTATTTTGCAACGTTATGTTTGTTCAGAAATTTTCGCGTTATTTTATGGGCCACAGTGTTATTCATTAAAACAATCTTGGAAGTACAATTTTAATTAGTGTTTAGGTTGACAAAATTATGTTAAACATACCAACTATGGTAGAAGACTATATTAATAAATGCTAGTAATTTATTTTTAAATTAAATCAGTCTAAGTTTAAAGAAAAAAAGAAATGTGGTAGAAATAAACAAATGTGTAAGTTTAGTAGTTGTAGTGTTGAAAACTTCAAGAGCGTTCTATAAGTTTTAAATAAAAAAAATAATATGATTATTTTTCTATCAGTGCTACTTATAAACAAGGTTTAGCGTTGGAGTAAATTTACGCTGAGACTGCTCTTAGTATTAGTCAAAATTCATATAATTAAACACAAGTTAACAAAACAAAAGTTAATCTAATACGAGGTTCTACGGGAGTAATATTTGCTCCTAGAAGGTAGTAGATTTGCTTATTCTTTGTGTAATATGAGTATGGACTAATACTAAAATTGCAATTTTAGCGTAAATTTAGTCTGACGCTAAACCTGTCTATAAGTAGCACTGTAAGAGTTTAACTTTAAGCGGGTGGTATTGTATACGATAAAAAAAATCAACGAATCGCATTACGTTTTAACTTCTATGGTTATAATTGTAATGTAAGAGCAATTTATTAATTAGGTATGTTTTGTTTCAGTTTTCTTCATTTGTTTTCTACCGTACCATGCATTTGAAATGTGGTATCACTTATCTCCAACTGCACAAGACGATTATAACGAATTCACACACGCTCTGAGGATTATGGGCTTCTGTTTGAGGTATGTCCTGATATACCTTTAATATTTTGTGATCTCGTAACAAGAACTGTATCATAAAGGGGTGTAGTTGGAACGCTATTGACTTTCTATAATTACGCTTACATTTGTAGAATTTCTCTCCAGGTGACAAAAAGAGGACGTTCTTAGACGCCAGGCAGTGGTGCCTATTGTGTTACGTCTGTATTTTTCTTAACTTTATTCTGTAGTCTCATATAATCAAATATATTGTATATATTTATACAAATAAAAATAACTTCTTCTATGTAGTTATTGATAAAGATGGCAATGCAGTTTTGCCAGGTTTTAGTTTAGTTTACCTATTTTGTGCTACAAAATACTACCAATGAGACTCTGAAATCATGCTTCTTTGTATACTTAAATAAAATATGACTGTACAAAAGATTTTTTCACAAATTCAAAATTTATAAATTAAGGAAGGTCAATTATCGTGGCAGTTCGCGGAAAAATCAAACCAAATTACGACCTTTGTAAAGTTTGTTACGCATTGTAACATTAAAAGCCTCGGTGACGAGACTAAATTTTGAACTCAGTAGGCTTACTTATCCTTAACTTTTCTTAGAAACAAAATTATTTTTTGTTTTCATTACGATAAATTAGTATCCAATTATAATTTTATATTTTGTTATTTAGAAATAAAATCAATGAAAGACTGCTGACTTGTTTTCATGCATCTACTGTTTAGGAGAATAGAAATACAAATTATCTATATGAATTTGAGATAGGTTCCTAATTTCTATTTAACAAAGATGGGGTGGTAGTTGTCTTTAAATGTAATTAGGTGTGACGGGTTCGGTGCTTGGGTCAATTAATAAGGCTGATTAGCTTGAGTATAGATTTATTAATTATATAAGGGTAAATAAGAAACTGTAACAAACAAAAATTAAATTTTAAAAAGCAGTTCGTAAGTTACTTAACTAATACATACTTATCAAATAAACGAATACATACCCCTTGTCGGGCTTTTAGTTAAACTCTTGGATCGTCCAAAATACAGATTACAATTTAGTTCATATGTTATATAATTTGTATCACAATATCACATTCTTTATCACAATCAATGAATTATTTTAAAATTACATAGTAAAATTTATACCACTAATACTGTATAATAATTTTCATGTTGTGCATAGAAGAATTTCTTACGAACTGACATCCATAAAGATTATAATTGATTAGTCAAAATTTTAAATTACGAAAGACGATTAATAAAATGAAATGATGTTGAATTTCAAAACAAAAAGTTTGCATACTGAAACCTAGGAAAACAAACGGTGGCATGGCACACCGTTACATAGGTAGTTATTTGCACTTCTAATATCCAACCTGGGACTAATCACTAGGTCTAGGTTGCACCAACTTAGTTAAGAAATAACACACATGTTAATGTATCGATTAAGTAAATAATCAGTTGCACCATTTACCAAAGGTTAGATGACGTTACAACTTTAATTGTTAACTATAACCGCCCAAGCTTCGCTGGTTAAAGTTATGGTCTTACTATGCTAAGAAAGAGAATTACCTTTAACTGCTATTATGGTGCAATCCAGTCTTAGTTTAATAACATATTTGTACAATGATTCCCAAAATAATGTATTACAAACTTATTGTAAATTTGTATTTAATAAATAGTGTTTTTGAGACATTTCATATTGACAATTTCATAAGATTTAGTCTTTACCTCATAAAGCGAAAATTGCAGTGAACATTTCTTATATTGTGTAAGGACATCACATTCAGTACAAGCAGTGCGGAAATTAAAAATGTCCGTTCGATATAAGTTCAAAGAGATGTGAGAACTTTTCAACTAGATCACCATGGAACATAAACAAAGGGACGAAATATAAAGATTTCATTGAAATAATCGAAGATATTGGTAGCAATCTGTTTCACAAATTACACTTTATCTAGTCATAATCAATTCTCTATGATTTTTTTGTTAGGACAGTATAATTATATTTCCTTTATTATTATGTGACTGCGAAATAACGTTTCGAGAGAAACAAAGATTTGTTTATTTTAGAATAAGTATAATGCCCGGTGTAAAAAAGAAAATATTTAGTCCGTCTATCAGATGATAGATAATAATAATAACTAATAGATACTTATTATTATGCTTTAATGTGACAAGCAACGGCTTAAGAAACAGACATTAAAGTAGGGGCTCGCTGCGTCACAACTAAATAAAAATGTAATAAGTTTTCTGAACACAATCCAATTGAACAGTAGGTAATTTAATTTTGCTATGTCGATAATTCGGTGGAGCGTGAGTGTGCCACCACAAATAATACCTACAAAGTGGCAACTGTTCTTAATTAGAAGGCTTTGAATTCTGTTAATGTGGCAAATATAGGTACTATCTATGTTCGAAGGTATTATGTAAACGTATTCTATGCTAAACTATATTTAAATGTTTAAATTTGGAATAGCTCTTATTTTTATGAACAAACGCGAAATTATAATGTCATTTTTCAAGTAAATTTTAACTTATTCTAAACAAGAGTCTAAAACAAGTAAATATGGATTTGAGAGAAATTATTATTACAAAATTTTAAAACCACTCATGAAAAACATGTGTCACGCAAAATATGACTATTATCATCTGGTTTTGAACAAAAATACAAATTAAACTGTAATTAAAAATAAAAAAAACTTTATCATATTATTTAGAGTTTTGTCACAGTAAAACCCCGAATTTATAAAATTTTCTTGATAGAAAAGAAAAATCACAAAGTTACGCCATAAAATAACAAATTTTTCGATTTCTTCTCGTCAATATATCCTTTTAATATTAAATAAAAATTATAGATATGTGTGTTTCATTGGAGCCGCGGGTAGTGTACAACACATATACAAAAATGGTAATGGAGTACATAATTAAGTTAAACTATTTTTGTGATGGACCCTATTAAGCTTAGATATAAGCCTTTATATTCAATAATCCTATGAATCAGTTGCTTACAGCACGCGTTGCTACGAACCAGAAAAACGCTTTGTCTACACCCAAATGTTACTTTTGTATGATCAAGAGTGTGATATCGCACAGGCGCACCCCAGAAAAGTAACATTTGAGTGTAGATAAAACATTATATACGTGCTGAATAGCAATTGAAACGTTACCATTTTTATAGCAATTTTATATGTTCTATTTTTATCAGTTTCCTGAACTCTTGCGTCAATCCCGTGGCGTTGTACTGCGTAAGTGGTGTGTTTAGGCAGCACTTCAATCGATACCTCTGTTGTCGACGGGGAAGCCTTCATCCAACATGTAGCTCCAGACTATCTAGAACTGCGATCTGCGAAACATCATTTAGGAGCACACATCGTCATAGATGCAACAGGTAATTGATTCATACACATAATTATACTTATTCCAAAACCATAGCAAAGGAGATAGCAATAGTGGGAGTTAAAAGATCTTAACGTTGTATTTATTAGCTGCTTAATTTTAACAAAATCATTTTAATGTCGGTAAAACTTATTTTTATAGATTTTACAAGCTTTTCCTAAGGCTTTCAGAGATTTTTTATGCTCAAAATTGGTTTTCGTATGTTTGGTGTTAGTTTGAACCTCAGATCATAGAAAGTAATAAATATTGTGAAGAAGGCTGCGCATAGGTACGAGTATTACCACATAGCAAAGTTTTAAAAATATTCAAACTAATAGCAGCCGGTAATAGCAGTACAAATTTAAAGATACGAGTCATTTGTAATTATAAGACATCAGTTCATTTTATTATAGACAGAATTTGAAAATTGACATTTCGACATATTTAAATATGGTCACATATTATTCTAAATTAATTAAATGTGGATATTTTTATATCTTCGTAAAGACTGTGTATTAGGGAGGCCATTCTTATACATTATAATTTTTCATTTAAGTCTGTAGTCGCCTAAATCTTAAAGCTGATTTAATGATATGCGACAACCATCTTCGTCAAGTAAATTCATAATTTTGTTGCTCAGTAAAGAAACTTTTGTTTTCCACGTATTGTGCAACAACTAGGAAGGTTGTATATTAAATTTTACTTGTCAATTTTTTTTTAATTTTCGTAACCGGTACTCGCTATTTTGTAGTGATATATCTTTTTGGTAAACATAATTTCTGTGATCTGAGGTTCAATCGCTTGACCGTTTACTACAGCAGTAATTGTTCTACCATCGTTTACAGGAATCCCACAGAGAGTGTCGTAATATCAAACTACGACTACGGAAGCACTAAGAAGAAAAACAACATCATATCTAGGAACAGCGGCATCACCATCATGACTATCAGAGACACCAATGACTTCCTCGTAGGCGAAAACGATGATAAAAGTAACAAGAGATAGATATCTGACGTTTAGTCAATCTCTATTTTTATACTAAACATCATCATTGTTACGAATAAAACCATAGTTTTAATATTTAGACGAATTTAAATCAGATTCCTTTCAAAATTTCAATGTATAAATAAAAAAATCAGATTTCATAAAAAAATAGCTTTGTGATCTTATCGCATATTCTTATATATCTTCACAGTCTTTATAAAAGACGGTGGTAAACTGTTAAGTAAATGTGTAGTATATGGTTATCTTTTTAAGATTTCAATTCGGTGGAGTAATGTTGTAGTGACAAACGTTTATTACCCATAGTCTAGTCGCGTGAATTGACTGAACTCATTGGCAATAATAGGGATGATGACTAATTTTTGTTTGTTTGTCCGTCAGATAGAGTGTTAAAAAATATTAAACACGTATTTTTTTATCTTTTTCGTAATCATAAAATTACGGCGTTACATGTTGAAATTTCGCATGACGTCACGTTAGGGTACGTTTTCTACTCAACTGTGACGTAGCGAGCCCCCACTCCTCAATTTTAATGCCTGTTATCTATACTATTTCTTGTTAAATTGAAGTAAAAAAAATACGTATATAATATTTTTATATTATCGGACTAAATAGAATTGCATTTTTTTTACCCAGTCATCATCCCTATTGTTTCCATTGTCCATGTTACCAGGTGAACCACACGAGCTATGGGCAATAAACGGGTGATAAATAGCCTTTCTATCTCGATTACATCTTTAATTTATAAAGCTACGGTTCAACCAGGTTTAATCTTAGCTCGAAATTTAATTCTATAGTGAATATAAATTTTGTAAATACATTATGCTGTCTGTGTTCAGGTAGTAAAAATGAGATCTATATTGTAAATGATATTCAAAACTAACAATATATTTATGTATTATCATTGTAAAATCTGTTTGTATCATACAAATTATATTTAATATTTTAGTAGTGGTGTTGAGGTTTTAGTTATGGTTAAACTCTTTCAACTGCTGAAGCATAATTTGAAATTTTCCAAAATGGTCTGATATTATTTTAGTTATTGAAATAATTTAATCACACTATATATATATGTATGTAATATTTCAATATTTGTTAACATTCCAATATAACATTGTCTTTTTAAGATTTTAAAATGTGATAAAATTACTTTTGAATTATATTATTTGTTAATAATTAATATTGTTATATGTATAAATGTTGGATAACAGTTGTTTGTTTAATATTTTTACATAAGTGATTAATGAAAATAAATCATAGACAAATCTCTGGCTTAGCATCGCTTTAAGTGTGTGGTTAGGCCTAATATATTTCAATTTTATCTTTTTTATTTTAATGGCGCTAGAAAGCGTTATAAACGTAAAATGTAAATACAATAATACTCTTAATTTATGTCTTTATATAAGTTATTCAAACTGTTATAAAAATGGCACCTGAAATTAAAATGAAATATTTTCTACTTAGATAACACAATGTGACTAGATATTTCATACCAAAGCGAATAATTGAAATGAATGTAATAGTTTAGTAATCCACTGTAAATAGTAGGATTTTATTGGTTGGAGGTGAAAATAAACTATGTTTGTACCAACTTTACGATTATCAAAAGTTCGGATGTACTTAAATTTCTTGATATTAAAATAGTTGTACAGATATTTTTCAGTTTTACAATTATTTTCACGTCATTTGCTATCCCTTACAATAATAAACATTTTCAAGCAAAAAATCCTAAAAATAAGACTTCTTTTAACTCCATACATAGGAAATATACATCTGAAACTCTTAAAGCTTTAAACTTAGGAATATAAGAAGTGAAATTAACTAAAAATATTTTATCATACTTAACATGACATATTTATTCAAATCCATAAATGAAATAATCATTTTTTTAACAGTTTGTACTGTTTGTTTCAAATAAAATGAGAACAACTTAACATACAGAAAAAAACTATCAAGTATCGTATACACACCTCAGATAACAAAACGGAATTGTGTTCTTTTATTTATTTACGATTTTATTTTGAACAAAAATATCTTTTCATAAGACTGCCTCTAAAATATTTCACGGCAGAATACACAATAAATTCGGCATTCTTTAGAATCAAATATTTTCCTCTCAACGGTAAGTCTTTAAAAATATTCGGTATACAAAGCCTCAAGTTCTGAAAGTATTCAAATAGATAAATCCGAGTCGATTGAGGCAAACAAAAACACATTTTCTTTACACCTGGCTGATACATTATGAGTGACATTAAAATTCTGTTATAGAAAAACATTTAAAGACCTACGCCTACAAGAGAAAGCAGAATGGAAGCGGTGGAGTCTCTTTTTAATAACTATTCATTCGCATAAAACTTATGTAAGTTATAACACGACATACTTCTAATTGTTTTACAAAAGTATACTATGTTCTTATTATGACATCTAACTTAAGCTAACTTATTGATAAATTCTTAAAAAGCCTTGAGCTTTAGTGTATTTATGGCTTCGTCGTTTGACCTGCTCAGTGAAGTTACCACTGGGCCGTTTGAAGGTAAGAGATTAGAGAGAACAGCAGGTTATGTAATCATCATCATCATCATCATCATCTGCCTTTTTACGTCCCCACTGCAGGGGCTCAGGCCTTCCTTTTATAATGCGGATTGCGGATTGGAGGTTATGTATAGGAACACATATCTTGTTGTTCCGTCAAGTGGCGTAAAAATAGTGTGGATACTATTAACGTGTCAGTATTACATTAACATGTGCATAATTGACGTATCGTTGCGCAGTCTAGATAAATACAAATTCAAAAAAGGAACTGTCTGAGGAAACTGAAAAAAATGAAATTATAATATAAACTATTCCCTTGAAAATAAAAGTTTGGAAAAAACTATAAATCACTTCTTTTAAATTAAAACTTATTATTTTTATTTTTAATACCTACGTTCCGATTGCAATATTTTATAAATTTCTTTTAACACGCGATCATCTGTTCTTATTTGTTTAATTGACAGATCTCGCAATTTCATCTCCTTTTTCCGTCAGCTCGAATACTCTGATTGTAAAAATAATTGGAAGTCGAAAATCAAATGTTATTTCTTTTATAAAGAAAGGTTTTTTTCTGATAATTTTAAATATCTTCCGAATTTTGTTATGAACGTTTTCTGCGCACATCCTGTCATTAAGGATGCAAACTGGGTAAAAGAATGAAATTCAGAAAATAGAAAAATATTAGGTAGTTGCGCTTTCTTTTCTTCAATTTAACAAGAAATAGCTACGATAACAGGCATTTAAGTTGAGTTGATTAAACTTTAATGCCTGTTATCGTTTTGTTGAAAATGTACAAAAGCTTGACGTCATGTGACATTTTAACTCAATGTATCGACGTAATTTAACGATTACAAAAAAAAAAAAAACTTGTTGAATATTTTCCAACAATCTACCTGACGGACAAACAGATAAAAATTAGTCGTCATCCCTATTATAACACATGTCACCCGCAAACAGTGTAGCTTCCCGTAACGAATTTCAATTTTGTTCACAATTTCCTTACAAACAAAGATAGAAACTTAACCTTTTTTATTATCGAGTATAAGTTAAGATTGGTTTTGACCTTATAATTGAAAGTCGAAGAATCAATTTCTATATATTTTATTAATAATACTTAGCTAACTATGTACTGTTATCTAAATGATAATCTCTATATATATATAATTTTCGTGTCACAATTTCCGTTCCCGTACTCCTCCGAAACGGCTTGACCGATTCTCATGAAATTTTGTGAGCATATTGAGTAGGTCTGAGAATAGGGCAACATCTATTTTTCATACCCCTTAGTGATAAGGATCGCGGGAAACCGACTTCCACGCGGACGAAGTCGCGGGCGGCCACTGATACATGCTATACAATTTCAGCTTAATGGGTTGAAGATAATAAAAGACTAAATAAAAAAATTACGAACTTAGATGAATACATTTCAATTTTAATTAAAGCTCATAAAAAGCTTCACATTATAATTTCCATCCTTGTCAGTCCATGCATTGAAAAACACATTCCATCTTCTATAGAGAAGGTTCCTGAAATTTCTTGTCGTCTTTGAGTAATCGTAACACAACTTTATAACCGTACACTGGAACTTTAAACCTAAAATTCCTCAGAATATGTGATTGAAATGGGAGGAAAATAGTGCATAAATTATCCCTGTTTTAAGAATTTAGGTTCATTTTCCATGAGTTACCAGAAATAAGGTTACAGTATAATAATTCTAGTAAGATTGTAATCTAACAATGCTTACAATTAAACGGTGACATGCATATATATATATATACATGGCAATGTCATGATGTATCACTTTAAGCTCCAAGTAAAAACACAAATGCCAAATATCTTGTTAACAACCCAAAAAATGTATGTTGAAGAAAATGGAAAAAGTTGTTTTCCTAGAATATCCATCGGTGTAAGGGAGCGCGAAATGAGGAAGATATGAAGCTAAATCTTTTTTGACGCGTGACTTGATACTTGCCGATTACATACGTGGAGATTTACCGATGTATTTAACTAAGGTGTAAAATGTCTATGGCTACTACATTTCATGGAACTGAAAAAGAAATATTAGCATCACAAACTTAGCATCAATTTTACAGAATGAAATATTATTATTCCTTTACATTTTGGAGCATATTTGAATGTGATGTATAACCTCGGAAGTTAACATCGAGTGTAGGGTGAACATAAGTAGCAACGTGTTTAAAGGCCTTTTACTATCATTCTAATGTGAATGACCATGAATGTATCAATCAACATAAAATGTTTATAACATGAATTATTTAGCAATCAAACTCTGTGACCTAAACGTTTGGCAATATTGAGAAAAACGTAACTTTGCTACAAGAGCAAAGTTACTAATGAGTTTTGTTATGTCTCTAGACGTAATTGTTTATTTTATACGTAATTGATTATCCTAATAACATTATAAATTTAAAAGTTTCTTTGTTTGGATGTTTGTTCGTCAATCACACCGAAACTACTCAACGGATTTTGATGACATTTAGTTTACAGATAAGGTATTAGCTTACTTAGATAATAAGATACTTTTCATCCCACTAAAGATTTCTCTGGGGACCATGCGGGCGAAGCCGCTGGCGAAAGCTAGTTTTTAACAAAATTATAATAAAAACTTCATCTTTCAT